TAATAATATTTTAAAGTGACATATAAAACTATTTTTTTTTTATTTCATTACTTAAAGAAACTGTGGTAGGTGGCAGAGATTTTTTGAAAAAAAAACTCATGTTCCTTGAAGGTGATTCTTAGAATAACAATTAATTGTTTATACACATTTTGACATATTTCCTCAGTCATTGATTTTATGTTGCATTATAAAATTGTTATTGCTGTTTGTTCATCAATATTAAATATTTTATTCTGTATTATTTTGGTTGAAAAACTTAATCAATTCACATGTAATGAATCCATAAGAAGCCATTTTCTCAAAAACCAAGCATTTCATTTAAAAATAGTAAAGGACCTTTCTGCTGTAGAAAATAAACCGCAATGTAAAAAAAATATATTCATTTTGAAAAATTTCCAGTGGCGTAAAAATTGTATTAAAAATAGGAGTAATCAGAGGCAGTTCCGGACGCCTATGATTGATCTATTTTCACAATAATTTGTAGAGCTACTTTCACAGTTTAAGAAAAAAATAAATAAAAACCAAAAAAAAAAATTTTTGTTCAAGATCTTGTATCTTTAAAAGGAAATCTTTGGAAGAAAAAGTGTATACTTCAAAATAACATTATTTTGACGAGATCTACCGATGGTTAAATCACAAAAAAGTCAGTCACCCTGTATATACAAATTTTTATAAGGCGTTTGATAGTCTTAGCTAATCTTTGTTAACAGATACCAATCTGTATATTGTTGCTTGTTCTGGAGTGCCTCAAGGCTCTGTATTAGGAAAATTGCTAGTCAATATTTATATTAATAACATAACGTCTAAATTATGTTGTGCAGCAGTACTATATGCAGATGATTTAAAGTTATTTACTTCACTTCGCAGTATTGACGACATAATTAAACTTCAAAACGATTTAACAATACACACGAGTTTTTTTAGACAGCATAATAAACTAATATCTAATTATTTACTTAATAACTAAAGTATGCAAAAGTGTGATAAATTGAAAGATCTTGGAGTCAACTTCGACTCTAAACTTTCTTTTGCAGACCATGTGTTCGAATTAGTTGCTGTTGTATATAAGAAACTAGTCTTTATTTTACGAAATGCAAAGGGTTTTCCAATTTTAATTACCGCTTACCATTCAACACTGCGTTCGATAATATTTCGAAAAAACAGATATTTATCCACCTAGAAGTGGTAAATAAATAAACGCAAATTTAGAAAAATAATTTTCCACTGTAAAAATCAAATTATGTTCACAGATTTGTTTTCGCCACTAAATTTAACTTCAAAAAAGAACACTATTTTTTTTTCTATTTACCATTTTTTTATATTGCAACACCACCAAAATGAGTCACCATGTACAATTTTTTTCTAACCCCTAATATCACTGAATTACTCAGTTGTTTTTTTTTCCAAGTAAACAGGTTTTTAATTTTAAACCCTATTTAAGATGTCAGATAAATTAAAAGAAAAATTTATGTTGGTAAATTGTTCGAATAACTTAAGGAAAATTAATTGACTTTAACCCTTATTACCCTGTAATTATAGCTAGACAAATCCGCCGGTGCAAGGAAATTCGTCTTTAAATTGGATTGCATTAAAATCACATTTTAATTTCACATCGCATTTAATTGGCGATGGCGTTTTCAAAGCCACCCAACCTTTAAACGTTTCCTGAACGATCTTATGAAATAAACGAGAAAGTAGGTCTGATCTGATGCGTAAATTAACATAATTTGAATTTACTGCTTCAGAAATTGCATTCGATTTTAACACGGGTTAGTACGTGCCTAATTGGTCGATTTAGGAAGTGGTTAGATTGGAATGGTGGAACAGACCTGTCATGCAGTTCCTCCTAAGCTTCCACTCCAACAATAATCGGCAGAAAGTCAGCCATACACCGATGGATAAACTGGCCGATTTGATCGAGTCGAACTATGAGCTCTATCGTTTAGGTTTAGATTTATCTGACGATAAATCTGTTAGTTCCAAATTTTCGCTGAGATACGAGTAGCTTCGGACAAATTTACAATAGAGATAAATAATTAATAGGTAAATTTGATATTTTGGAGACAACAGTATCCATTTTTTAGTGAAGTCTCGCAGCAAACAGAAATAATAACTTTTAGTTTTCTCCATAGACAAAATAGACTGAACTGTACAGGCAAAAGGTCAAAGTCAACGGTCAGCCTAACTTCAGCTCAGCCAGCCTCGCGCTCTCAGTCGCTGTTAGACATTCGCTGTGTTAACATTGTTAGTATTTTATTAAGTATATTGTTTTTATTTGTGCAAGCATGGGAAAATGTATCGTTGACGATTGTAATAGCAGATCTGATCACAATAGTGCTGAAATTTCATTCTTTAGGTAAGTAATAATATAAAAATATTTTATAGCATTTCGACGGCTTCGCGCAGCGTTCTCCATCTCACATGCGCTTATTTCCAGTGTTGGCCTCATGTTTTTTAGTGCCCACGTTATTAACTGATGTAAATATAGAGGTTCATATTATCAACCGGCTATTTACAATTATTAGTTTTTTTGTCACAATTGGTGTTTATTTTCATGATGGCTATTAAAAATAATTATTTTACTTATATAAATATTGAACGCTTAATATATAATTTCAATAATAAACATACATTAATGTTAAATTGCAGGTGATTAGTTACTGAATAAAATTTTCTTGTTTTTATTCTCAGGTTTCCTAAAGAGGGTGGAAATGAAATTGGAATGGGTCAAATCCATTAAGCAAAAGGATTGGGCGTACTCAAAATCGTCTGTAATATGTTTTTTACAATTTCAAGAGAAGTTTATTAATAAAACCGACGCTAAAAAGTTATCCAAAAATGCAGTGCCAATTTTACACTTGCCAAGAGTGGTAAGCAAACTGTCGTTTAAAAAAGAAAAATTACAATTTAAGACAGAAATAATAATATATTTTTTTAATAACTCCTATAAAAACAGTAGAAACTACAGAAAAATAAAATTGTGTATCATGTATTAAAAAACTTTTTGAATATGAACATATTTAAAAATATGCATAAGAACTTGTGAGGACTGTATGTAGAAAGTATATCGATATGAGAAGAAATCATGAAGTTAAAATATTTAATTCAATGAAATCTACTAAAAGACAAATATTAAATAAACTAACATTACTTAAAGGACAATAAACATATTTAAATCATTTTGTAGGTTTATTTAATATAAGCAAGACATTAAAGCATATTATTTTCTGAATTCCAAACTTGAAACTCATTTTTAAACATAATATTTCAAATTAAATTTAATTTATTTCTATGGATATATATGAATATGAACTTATTGCTTACTTAAAACATATTTATATGTCCTTAAGAACAACTTAAAGCTAAACTTTAAACATCTTGTTTTTAGCTATTTTTTATTGGTGATTTGAGAAAATGCCACACTAATTACTATAAAAAATTTATAATATTTGGGCTTAGTGCACGTGCAGAGTCTAACAGAACCGGCGCAGGGGTCGGTGGCCTTCACAGATGACTCGCACTTTGAACTGTTAAGATATTTACGGAACCTTGTAGTAATTGGTGTCGCGTCGATAAATATCTTATTTACGTCTGCTGTAAATTGTATTCGCCGTGTGTATTTAAATAACTATTTATAAATAGTAACATAATTTACATTAACAACTATTAGTATTTTTCTATGAACTTACAGACGCCTTTCTTTCAAGCCGTTAAACAAAATAGAGAACCCCAAGTTCCGTAATTCCATAAATTGGAATCACATGGACCATCCCTAAATGAACAATTTGATATAATGGATGGTGTACAAAAAATATATATATGATGTCAATAATACACGCCCAGTCAGTAGTACGATAAAAGAAAAAATTAAAAAAAGTGTTGGAAAAAATCCACGATAGACCATTTTGGAAAACATGTAAAGTTTTATCTGGTACATATCAGCAAATATATTAATATATAGTTCAAGCCTCAACATTTTCTCATACTGTCCGTTGTCAACAGTAGACGTTGAACGGTCATTTTCCCTACACAAGTTAATATTAAGTGATAAACGTCGCAGTTTCACTAAAGAAAACTTAGAAAAGCAAGTAGTAATATGTTTTAACTCCTTCCAATATGCCACGGAAGCCTTGTCTCAACACTAAGGTTTATCGGGTAAGTTGTGTCATTTATATTTATATAGGTATTTTATCCTCTACTTAGCCTTGCTCTTTGGTAATAGTACTATGTTGCGAAATATTTTCTGTAAACATATTAATATTTTCATTCGTAATCTGACTACGGTACTGTTAAACTCCGCGCCGCACGAAGTCTAATAATATTGTATGTCGCTAAATGCACTGTTCTGGGGAAAAACTGATTTTGTTTTTTACAACAGTCATCATTTCCAGGCATCCGGGTATTTGGAAGTATCCTAATACAATTATTAAATTTCACTCTCATAAGTACTAAATTGGCACTTAAATAAAAAATATTTTTTGGGATTTATACTAACCTACCTCTATTAAAAAGGCATGCTTTGGAATGTAGTACCACAAAATTAAATTCACAGAGACATACAGTATCCTAACACGTTGAGAGTAAGTTAGTTTAAATCGTAAAAAAATATGTATGACCGTTGAGTGAGGAATTTCCTCACTCAATCGTACGACTCAAACCAAATAGACAATTTTAATAGGTATATGGTTTTAGAGTCAAATTACTAGAAATTGTGGTAGAATATATGCTTTGCGAACTCATAAGATTTTTTATATCTGTAAGTACCTATTTCAAGAACTTAAAATATAAGCGTAAATCTAATGGAATATCAGCTGATGGTAGGGACGATATTTTCTTGATTTAATGGACATAACTTTTCTAGAAGTATACCCCTGAGGGAGTAACTAAATATAAAAATTGCGAATTATTAATAATGCCTTGAAAATCATTAAAACTTCTTCCAAAAAGCGATAAAATGACGAACACAAACATTAATATTCCCACCACCGAAATATACTTACAAGTTTTACTCATAAAAAACCATTTGCGTTTCCTACCACGTTTAGACTGTTTAGCTGCTGTGTTTTTGCCTATGGAGAAATGAAGCGTGATTGTTAATTAAGCATAAAAGAAAATAAGAGATGTTACAGAACAGAAAGAAAAAAGTAGATTAGAAAAAAGAAGTAATGCGTGAAAATGCTTAAATATAAATGCTTTATAATATGGAAGTTAGTGTCAGAAATTAGCGAATTTTGTATATGTACACAAATTAAAATTGTTCCATAAAAAAGAATAGGTAACACATATCGACAGAAGTTAAGTGTTAAGTAAAATAATTTTCTCGGCAGCAGTTTTGAAAAGTTTCACTTTGTCATTTGTTTTTACCTATTTTACCTATTTTTTAGGTATGCAGAATGATATTCACGAAATTAATTACATGATTTTCTAGATATATTTAATTTGACATTTAAAAAACGTTAAAAAATGCCGTTGTTTTGTTAAATTTCGAAAAACAGGAAAAAAAGTTGTTTACTTTGCAGTTTTATACTAACATCTATATTTACAATTTACAATTTCGAGCATAAAATAGTAGGTATATCAAGAACATTTACAATTATTTAGTTTTACTATTGCCATTGGCTAATGATATTTTTTGTTTTAATATTATTAACTTGTGTATTAATTTATACGACAGAATGTATTTTTGGAATTTGACATTACATAGATAAATTTTGTACCACATCAAATGAATTTTTAACGATGCATTTTGGTACATTTTAAAAACGTATTCAAACCTTTAACTTTGTCGAAAGAATTACACGTAATATCAAATAATCTTTTTTAATTTCGATTCAAGTCGACAATTAGGTTGCACCAAATTTGAAAACCATATTTTCAGTTCTTAAGTAATTGACTAAAAATTGTGTTTCAGGAACAAAATTTTATTAGAGAGATTAATAAGAATGTAAGTTTGACACATAGGTACAGAAAATTACGATTGCTTTTGAACACATTATGTGTTACTATCCTTTAATTAAAAACGACTATCAAAGTAAAAATATTCAAAAATCGAATCATAAAAAAGTTTTTCGCTTTACTAATAACGCAAACACACCTGGAAAAATTATATTTGTATACATATTGACACCAAATTACATGAATTAGAATGCAATTAGTCTAATAATGTTGTAAGTCAATTACAAACAACGTTTATATTACATATCACTCTTCATCAAATAGCTAATAAGACACAGCATTCATAAATGATTACAAGCCATGTGACCGTCGAGCTTAGGCAACGGCACTGGTACTGTCAAATAAAAATCTCTAAATCTTGGCGTCAACAATGACAACCCGTCGAGAACGCTGATTGGTTGAATATAATCTCGTGAAACATTACACTAATCACCAGCCGATCAAACAGAATCTTTTAATGTAAGCATGATCTTATTGTTTTAAATTTAACGAAATTTAATTGACAACGTGAAGGAAACAAAATTACTGGTCACGTGGCTTGTAATCATTTATGAATGCTTTGTAGGAATATTTAAAATCGACGAGTAATTTTTTTACTTTAAATACTGAAAAGTTACTTCAAATGCTCTCTCTCTCTACTTTTTGTATTTGTTAATTTGTATCGATGAAATAAAATATTTATTAATTTAATGTCCAATGAAAGTATAGAAAATATTTCTTGAAATAATCATGAAATATTTAGTCTGATAAATCGTGGCTTGTAATCGTTAATGAAGGCTATGTACAACTTCTAATTGCATACAAAATGCTTCAGAGAAACGTCCCATGAACCGTAGGCGTAACGGAATATTAAAAATATAGGATTTTTTTCTACGACACGTGTCCTTTTTGTTCAAAATACAGATTACAGTTCTGTATCTTGAAAACAATAGACGATTCCCCATAGTGGATAGCAAAAAATTAACTCCTAAGATTTATGCTACGTTTTTCTAAATCACTTTGTATACAGGGTGTGGCATGTATAATCTATAAAAATTGAACTACAACTTCCTAACGATATTTGTAATAGAAAAAGTTCTATTTTTGCGTTTTTTTTTTTCGTAAATTAAAGTTCAATTATGGATCAAAATATTTTCTCTGGAACGGTCCTGTCCGTGTGCTGTACGATGAGTTACGTGCTGTAGACCAGCCGCGTAAACAAATCGTCGTTGAAAGATAGATAGATACTTCTCAATTGTTGTGAAATTTTTCAATGCAAAAGTACAAACTAAGAAAAATAAATATTTTAAAAAAAACTGATATATTCTTATTATAATAATTAATAGTAATTACTAT